CTCATTCTCTGCTCTTTATTATAAATGACACCTCTAACTGAGACGAGCACAGTCCACTGCAATGCAGGGGCAGTTCCAGTAGTTCCAGTGAGCAAATCTATCAGCTTTCCCTTGCTGGGTGTTATTTGATATACTGCTTATTCTAATTCCTCGTGTTTCAGATCCATACGCCCCGAAGACCGAGAAGCAGGTCTCTTTCCAGCAGGCCTTCGTCCTGGTGATGAGGCACGGGCCATACCTCTCTCTGACCGCTGCATTCCTCTTCATCACTGTTGCCATTCAGGTAAATTTATTGGCAGAGCACTTCTCAGTCATGACACTCGGCCTTACAGTAAATGGAGACCTTACAGCGTGGGAGAACTGCTGGCGCTCGATGATGATTTGATCAGAGTAGAAGAGCACTTACTGAAAGCTCATCGTTTTTAAGCGTGTTGTGAGTCGCAGGGCTATTGGGAGTGATACCAGCAGTGTGTTCTTGCTTTTTGTTTATCACATGTGCGCGGATGCTCGCTTTTCAACCTCAATTTAACGCTGTTTAAATGATTGCAAACTTGTCAAATTTTGCATCAGATCTGGTTCTCTGTTTCATATATCCTCTCATCTCAGAGGAGTTATCAGCTGTCTTCTGCGAAAGCCCCAGAGCGGGAATAAATCCCGGCAAAAACACTGTCAGCAGCTTCTCCAGTCACTTTATTTGGCGCTCAGCATAGCAAGAGTGCACAGCTACAGTGCTGAATAGACAAGACTGAATATCTGAATGTTTCATCTCTGCTTTTTGCAGCTGATCCAGAGCAACTTTGTCCTCTTCTGCACTTATGCAGCCGACCTGAGGGATCATTTCCAGAATATTGTCCTGACCATCCTGGTGAGTGCAGCTTTTAGCACTGAAGATCTGCAACATTAACGTAACCAAATGTAACACCTTGTGCATTTTAACTACAAGGTAATGTGGGGAGCTCGACTTCATTTCACATCATGTGCCACATAATCAATGTGAAGAACTTTTAACTTCAAATTTAATCCCTGAGACATCTTATTATAGAAAAAAAAGCAATGAACAGTACGTTCTTGTACATGATGAAGAAAGGCTGCTGTTGTAAATGAAAGAAATCTGTCAGCATAAGAGGCATAATTTGTAAAAAAAAAACAAAAAAAAAACATGTAAAATTACAATTTAATTCAATTTAATTCAGTTTTATTTACGTAGCACCAAATCACAACAGCAGCTGCCTCAAGGAGGTTTTAATTGTAGGTGAAGAACCGACAGTGATACAGAGAAAACAACAGTCAAACAGTAC